GGACAAACAGATAGGCTTACAATTTGTTTTTATAATTAGCTATTGTGTCAGTGTGAAAGCTAGGATACATGTCCAAAGTATATGATCATGAAGTGCCATGCAAGGCTACCTGCTAGGCTCATTTTCAGCATTAACCACCATGAACAAATGGGTACATTGTGTGCAAACTTGGGCTTGGCAAGGGCAATTTCAATAATTAAAATGTCTCATTACTGAAGCTGCTTCTAGACATTTAAGGGAAGATAGACCATGGCAGAACCCCACAGAAAGTTAGAATCATCCCACTTATTTCAGATCATTGGCAATGCTGCTTAAGTTACAGACAGAGACTTTCTAAATTTCTTTCTCTGTCAGTAGAGAGAGAAAAGTTCACTGCCATTGGCAGATGTCTAAAGTTAGGGGGGATGAGTGAAAGCACAACTGTTTCCAGGCATAGGCAAAGTGGCATGTATTGCCTTCACATCTTTCCACATATATTTCCATAGAAGGGTAGCTCACATAAGGTGCAATTGAGCTTGTGCTGCTACAATTCAGATCCTGCCCCCCGCCCCAAATGAATAGATGCTACCCATGATACAAGAAATTCAAAATTTATGGGTTACTTCTCCTTAAATCACTTCCTTTTCTACTGAAAATTATAGCAAAGTGGTCTTTATGCATAGCAGAAGGAATTGTCTGGGCAAAGAGAAGACCTGACTGTGCTGGGAATAGATACAATGGGAGAAAGTAATCTGGTCATTGGTATAGCTGCTACTCTGGAAAACCACTCTGGGTTCTGGTGCAAGAGGAACCTTAGGACTTTCTCAGGTCCCCATCAGCCCACTCAGGAAATTCACCACTAAATAATACATCTGCTTAAGCTCTGTGAAGCTACACTGCAGTCTTTAACTAGGTTTCTGTTTGATAAATGCATTCTGCTTGATAGGAGAATGTGCTGTGGTGGCCTATTTGACTCTGTTGATTTCTTATGCCTTGCAAGAGCTTAGGAAGTAATGAAAACACATTTAGACATATATATATATATATAGTTTGTACACACATATTATGTTATGGAAAAACTGTATTCTGGATTTGATAATTTCTGTGAATGGAACTTCTGTTCTCATCTGCCAGAGGTCTTGTACTGTATTAAGCTGTGTGATACAACAGGACATATCAGAAAACCAGAACCACATTGTTCAACTTGACCTCTAGAAAAATTAGAGATTATTTTTGTATTTTGTATTTTGAATCACTTGTGACCAAGTGGTTATGTAGATGTTTTACTCTGAACACATTCTTCAAAATATTTAAATGTCTTTCTTTGTCAGGGTTTTGTTTATATTTATGTTTTTTGTTCTTTAGTATGAATGCATCCGGTCAATATTTTCCTGATGGCAGAACCTCTCTGTGTAATGTGTGCATTTGTTTTCTTGAAAATGCAATGAATTTGAGACACTTTCAGTAAAACAAAGAAGTGTTCTGCAAATTCTCTTTATTCTTGACAGCTCTGCCCCAAGGACAGGACCATTGGGCACCCAACCTTGGGCAATTGTTTTTGTCTGAGAACAGTGAACCATCAGAAACTCCTGTTAGTGCTCAGGAAATGTGTTGATTTCTATAAAAAAGCTGCAGGATAGAGAAAGACATGATTTGAGCTTAACCATTATTTGGCCCAGCATTGATCACACACTAAAGGAAATCTTGTGCCATTCCCCTCATCTTGTTTTCCTATAAAGCGGTAAAACTGTTTCTTTGTTGACTCTATCCTCAAATATTTTTTAAAAAACTCTAGACTAATGGCTTAAAGTTTCAGATCATTCACTCCATCATTTTGATTCACAGCATGATGGAGATAAGAGATAAGGTGTTTAAATACTTCAGTGATAACAGGAGGGTTGCAGAGAATCCAGATCTATTTCACTGGGCTCAACAGAAAGCAGAACATTTCCCTGGAGCTTAGAAAAGGACTATATATACTGTGCTATTGTGTGTCAAAAAAGAATGTCTGTGTTGCAAACTGATTCAGGTTACTCAGCTATTTCTCTAACCAGACATTTGTAGCTCCCTATCTTTTATTTCTCTGATCTAAAGCAGCCATAACTTGCAAGCATGGATTTATCACAGGGGTGAGAGGAGACAGTTTTAGTTCTCTGAGCCATCAATCTGGGCAATATGTGCCCCTGTATTACATCAAGCAGCTGTGGCCACACAGTTGTGCAGCCTCTCCTTTCAGATCAGAGCTTCAGCTACCTCTGTCTTAAAACATTTCCCCCCAGGATCCCACCCCAGCTGCCTCTGTGGGTAAGATTTGAACAATAAAATGAAGACAACTTCCAAGTAATTTCTATATTCTCTTGTCCCTCCTTGCAGAAGGGATTTGGGCAATTTGGGCAAAAGTGCCATAAAAAGAAAGTAATAGTAAACATTTTTATTTTCTTCCTAAATGGGTGTAAAGGGAAGCAAAAATGGGCAGCTCAGGGATTGATACATGCTGTGTCTAATGAGTTTTACATCCTCAAGAATCTTGGAATATTTATGACTGTGCATACTGGCCTGAACATCAAGGTAACTGTTAGTGTGATGTGAATTGGTTGAATTTTCAATATTGAAAATTTTGCCTCAAAAATGTGGGCGTCAGTTGCAGTAGAGAAATTCACCTCTTCCAAGGCAAGCATTGTCCCTATTCTTACATTATGGATCAGCACAGGCAGGCATCATCATGTCTGTGCTTAATGTGTTCTAGAAGGGAGAATGACAAAATTCCTACTCATGCCTGAAAAACCAAGGATATGGGCAGAACTACTTTTATTCAACTATCTAGAATATTTATCAGTTCACTGCCCTGTCAGTTTGCTAAAACAAACCCACTAGAGCTTATTGCCACATCCCTCACTGGAACAACATGAGTATTAAACAGAAATACAGTTCAGCATATATTTTGAAAGCAGACTTTGAAATGCCTGGTATAAATTTATCCTCTGGTGTTCTTTTTTACTTCATTAACTTCACCATATTCATGACAAACTAGGTAAGGCAACAGAACAGTGGCAAAATAAATGGGGCCTTTACAATAAAAGATGCTGCCTTGTACCTCGATGTGAATAGAACTGGCCCACCATGCTTTGGGTTATTCCAAAATGTCTAGACTTTCTTATTAAAGATATCCCATTTTCTGGCTTTTGCCAAGATGAACAAAAACATCAAAACTTGCATAAAATGGCAAATGGATGCAGTAGAGGGGGGAAACTAAAAACAAACTCCTTAACCAAACCCCAACAATTTACATCAGTGCTGAGCAAAAGAATTGAAATTCTTAAGAACAGATGTTACTTGAAATTCACAGGGACAGATCAAATGTTTCAAAGAGTAAAGAAGTTTATCATTTAAAGATTGTATTGAAATTCAGGAGCTGAGCAACTACAAGCAGAAGAGATGTTATGTTAGGATTTGGTGAGGCTATGTGCCTGGATACATAGATGGCAACTCCTATGTACCCATTCAATGTTCTTTAAAAAGTTACAGGCTGTATAGGACATTCAGAGTAATGTTTGGTGGTCATAGGTGAATGGCACAACTAGTTTGCTGGCATTTCAGATTTTCTGCATCTTGTTTTAAATTCTTTAAATTCACTGCACTATATAAAAATGTGATAGTTTGCATATAGGGAATTGTGGTTTTGTTCAGATCTGTGGTTTTTGCATCCTGTAAGTCTTGTTTTGAGACCAAATCTGGTCATTCCAAATTGATTACACAAAAGCTATAGAGTAGGTTATAATTTCCATGGTGTGTGTAATATGTGGTGTAGCTGATTGGGCACTCAGAAATTGTGGTAGACCCTCCAGCTTGCTAACTTCCTAACTCAGCAGATCACAAGCTTTTATATACATATATGTCCCGTAACAGGGATGGTGATGTTATTACTGTAGGTCTAATTAGATATTCTTTAATGTTGTTTTCACTCAAAAATCTTGGAGACGCATTTCATCTGGATTTGGTTCCATTCCAGATTTGTTAAAAAGGAAATAATTATTCTGTATTTCCACCACAATTTAAAAAATAACACTAAATACTTGCAGGACATTGCAGACAGAAGGGAATTAAAATAAAACCTCATCAGGAAAAGGAAACTTACACCAAGTTACAAAAAACAAGACCAAAACCCTGCATGAGTAATTGGATCCCAAAATGCAATGAAGTGTTGGCTGAACGTTGTGCTACATACCAAATACTCCCTTTAACAAGATGAAATCTGAAAACAGTGGAAACATAGATCAGAGTTGCAGCTCAGAAATGATAGTATAAGAACAAGGAGCTGTGTTTGAACTACGATTCCCATTTGTATATATTTTTAAGTTAAACATATTTTTAAAGAGACCTATTTTTTGTGAGCAACTAGAATCCAAATGGAATAAAAGCCTCAAATAAAATCTACCAAGGGCTTAAGGGAACTGGAACATCACATTAGTAGGACAACATTTTTTCTCCTAAGACAATATTGGCACTAGGTAGAAATTAAGAGGAGAAGGAGGAAATAGAAAATTTTATTTATACTCTGGTAATAAATTTGAGTTTGACAATTTTTGATTGAAATATAGTGACTCACAAAAATAAAATAAAAATTAGATGAGTTTGTTTGTAGTCACTGGATCTGTTGATAATGGATACTCAGTTTTGGAAAAAGTCAAAGATGGGATGCTGCATGAATACACTTGAAAGAGATTTTCCTCTGCTTTACCTCTCTCCAGCTCTGAAGTTTCCCATGCTGTGTAGGACAAGAATGGATTAAGCAGAAAGGGAAGATGGACAAAATTGCTGCAGCCCAGGCCTCCCAAGGTGTCAGCAGAAAGGCCACCAAGAGCTTAACACAGCACAAATGTTACTTGACTAGCCCTGACACAAGTAGGATGCTGAAAGAAAAGCAAGGTTTTAAGTCTCAGCTCTGTAAGGGAGGAGCAGTTACAGGAGTGAAGGAGAAGAAGGTCTGGCCTGTGCATTCTGCTCAGAAATCACTTCCACACCTCTATTCCAGCGCACAAAGTAGCACATCAGTACCATGGGCCTCCACTGTCCTCTCTGCCAACAGGAACTTCAGTATGTTATGCCAGTGTCTGGAAATAGAAGCAGACACAAACTTAGGGAGAAATACCTGCTTTAGGTCCAGGTTTACTTTACAAGGACCTAAAATTCACTGGGGTCTGAAGCTTCACTGTATTAACAGGCTGATATTTAAAACTTGAACTGCATTTTTCAAAATAAAGACAAAACACCAAGTCAGAAGAATTTGAATTTCTCCTTATTGTCTATTCTCATCACAAGTTAGTTGTATTCGATTCTTTGATTCTGCGTAGTTGCAATCATCCCAGGAAGAGGAATTTTGCCATGCCCTTTTCTTAAGTGTGACACATTAAAATATTCCTACTGAAGTGAATAGATATCTTCTGAATTTCACTGCCTGGCTATTTGGCAACAGTGCTTCTTTTCAACAAAGAACAAAAGCAAGTTAAATTCTTCCTGCACACTGCAGGCCTTATTTTGTTATCAGAATTTGCCCTTGGTTTGATAATTTTGAATTAAAAGGGAGGTCAGTGGTATAGGCATTGTCAGACACCCAAGGCTCAATCCCCCTAAACATATGGGAGCATCCCCCTCATTCCTCTGTCCTTATCATAAAGGTATTCATGCTATGGCCCAGAAATGTCTGATTCTCTCTCCTATTCTTATCTGCCAGTCCTCTGTAGCAGATATCTTCTCTCACACACAGTCAGGTCTCTGGAGTGACACTTAAGAATCTGTGTATGAGTAACTGAATCAAACACATTAAGACATTTATCACAGGATCTTCAAAAGTGTTTTGTCACTCATCTCCTACTGAAAAGCACTGGAGATTGATTCGGATCATTATCATCATTAACAACATAAATAACTGGTCTTAATACTCTCACTTGTCGCCATAAAGCAATTGAATATCTTGCATAATGGCTGGCACACATCCACTAGATAGTTTGCCAGACACCAGAAAAGGTGTAGAAGAGTATCTATGGACAGGATAACCCACAGGACCTGAAAATCAACACACAGCTGACTATGTTTAGAAGACAGTTTTATTGCCATATAAAAGCGTTATAAATATCAATTAGAAATATCAGCCTGTTATCACAGAAATAAAGAATTATGTATAAACTTGACTGCATTTCAATTAACAAACTTGAAAGTTTTAAACATGTTTTTAATATGTTCTCACTGGCTGCCAAGGCTGCACCTCTGCAGAGTTTCTTCCTCACCATTTCTCACTGATGCAAGTTTCCCTTGTGTAGGATGGGGTGATGCCTTGAAGGTATAGCTATCTTTTGAAGAGGCTGAATGAAGAAACTGTTCCTGAGTACTGACCCTGATTTCTGCCACTCTGACCTGCCTGCCTTGGCCCCAGGGATGTCAAAAAATCTGGGATCACAAGCCAGGCTTCAATCCCCTTAGAAATGTGTAAGAACAGTTGTAGAAAGGAGGGAACAAATAATAATCCACAAAACCACAGTAGAATCCCTTCTCTTTTGTTCTTGCAAGACATTTTTATACTTAAAAAACGGAGCCATTTACACTATAGGAGTAAAATAGAGCAAGCAAATCCACCACTTGAACAGATAGATCCTTGCATGAGTGAGAGACATGCCTTATTTCTTCACCTTGTCCCTTTAAGTCAGATTTTACGCCATATTGTGGCTGAGTTGTGCAGTGCATTGCAAAGCAAGGGCCAGCCTGTGTAGCAATATTTCCTGCCATCACTGCTGCTAAATCAGTTTCTCTCAGACAAGGATGTGTGGACAGAAGAAGGAAGCTCTGTGAGTTTTGTCTCTTTAATAGGCAGTGCACTTTCCCTCTCCAATGAGACCATTTTCCCAGCTGGCATAAAGTCACCGACTTCGCTGGAGCTCACCCAATGTAACACAGATGAAGAGCTGGGCCAAAATAGAGTCACAAACATTCAGATGAATAAATACTTTAAAATGTTTATACCTAAGGGAGAGAAACTGAGGAGAGAGAGGATTAGCTGTGCTAGAGGCGTTGAATATGTGGATAAGCGAGAGTCACTCTTAGGCATCCATCCATACCTTTCAGACTGAATAGGGTGTCCCTCCCCTCTGGGTTTTCTTCTCTCTTTTCTCCTCCCCCCACCACAACATGTTTGGCATTTGCAAGTTTTGAAGTAATTTCTTCCTTTGGCCTCACCTGGGGTCTCTGCTGTCCCAGAACCTCCTCCTGACCTCAGTGTTGTGTTTTCATTTAAAGTCAGGGATGTCTATAAATGTCAGCAGTACAGGGCAATTAGAACTTTGAAAAGGGCTGTAACATAAACCAGCATTATAGTGAAATGGATACTGCCTTAAGCTGCCTGAAATTCACTTGCTGTTGGAAAGACAATATCCTGCCATTCTCCCATGGTGGCCTTCAATTGAACACATTTGGCTGAGGGTTGACCCATTATTAGGATAAGTCTCTGCATGGCTTGAAACAATGAAGAAACACAGGGGGAGACAAGACAGCAAATTGGGCTGGTAGTTAGCCAGCACTAAGCAGAAATGTGACACTGGATTAGGCCTTTATAGATGTCTGTGGTGCTATCTGTGAAATCCAATGCTCTCCTTGTTTCCATGCATTGCAGGCAAAAGCATGTGGCTAGATGTTGAACGAAATCCCCCCTTCCTTTTTTTTTTTTTTTAACTAATAGCCTCTAAAACATACCTTTTGTAACTCCAAAAAATAAACATTCATCGCAATAGCAATTTCGCTCCGTAGTACGGAGCTTTTTTCTCATATGTCATTGCATTATGTTAATTTATGATGTTTCTGGGTATCTCTGTCCTTGTCTCTCCAGTGAACATGTGCTGCTTTCCCTAGCTGGTCCCAGTTGCTATAATATATCAACTCTAATTCTGCCTTAACATCAGCTCCATTAAAGCTGTTCAAACACCCTCAAAACTCAACAACAGTCTCTCACTGTGAAGGAGAAAGAGAAAAAAATTCTTCACAAAATATGCTCTGAATTAATCAAAATTAGGTTTCCTCTTATGATGCAGACCAATGTAAAAGCAATATGGTAACACTCCCTGAGCAACTGGGAGTACGTGTTCAAGTCAAGCAGGACAAAAAGAAAAAGACAAAAGCTCCAAAGAAACCTATTCAATGGATTTCTATGCAAATACATATATTTCTGCAGAGAAATTTTATGGAAACTGTCTCTCTCCTCCTAAGGCAACATTTCATGTTATTACACTTTGTTATATACAAAAGGTCCATACAAGCAGAATCTTGCCAATTTTCTGACAGGGAATTTTGAAAAGAGATTTCTCTGAATTATAAATGTTTGGATTCATACACTGCATTTTTTCCTCCTTAAACCTAGTATGGAATCACAGAGCCATGAAACACGCCTGTGAATATAATCATGCTTTCCTGCAACTCCTTGGAATTCAGTCAGTTCACTGATCCTGCCTACTACCAAATAGATAGGAATGTTCTTTTATGGTACCTTGACTTTCCTCAGAGGTCCCACACTGCACATTCACCTATACACATTTAATCACAATCAGATTGAGGGGTTCTGATGCAAAACCTTGAAGAGATTCCCAGCAGACTTTGGGTCAGGTTTAGAAGGTTTTTGAAAGGATAATTTAGCAAAATGGTAGGATTTCAGCAGAGCCACCACACCCAACAGGGAATCCCTGGCTTCATGTTGCGAGGATGTGCACACTAAAAAAAGCAGGTACGTAGATAAGTTGTAAAGGTTGATTTCAGAGCACATGTCTAAGCTTCCTAGTCAGTATGATGCCATTTTAACATCTGTAATAAAACTCGTCCTCTCCATGAGATACACAAACAGGTCATGGCCTGTGAAATTGTCAGAGGTGTCAAGGGAAAACCAAAGTATGAGGCTGATGCTGGAAAGAATGTGTAATTTACTACACAATGGTCAGTGCAAGCTCTTTTTCCAAGCAGAGCTAACTCCCTAGAAGCAAATCTTTGTGGCTCCATAGGGCATAATATGGCTGTTCCAGCACATTTCTAGTCACTCTGAGATGTTTTGCAAACAGCATGATGTGCAAGTTTTATCTCTGACCTTAGCAGTCCTGTGATGAAGTTTAAAGAATGCATGGTCTCAAGTAAATATGTTGCTTACAGAGGAAGCATGCCTGCACAGCAAGCAGTATAGTGCTGTGTACCTCATCTCCACAAGGGTCAAGTCCACCTTTGGGAAACAGGCAGGAATGCAAAACGACTATTAAATTTGTCTAAAAATATGTGTTGTCTGCTGAAGAGAGAAAGGTATATGACATCTGGAACAGGAAGAGCTTAAAACAGGGGAATGGATGCCTTTTATATATATAATATTTTTCCTGATATAAAGTGTAAGTAAGCTTTTAGACATTTTTTATGTACTCTTGAAAGTTGTATAACCTACCTACTCCAATCTCTAGCCTGCACAATACCTGAGTTATAGTTTACTATGGAAGCTATAACTCCTGTGTTACATCTCCCACTAATGATTTTTAATGATGAGGGAACATGCTATTATTGACTGCAAACTCTTTTTCAGCTGCTAATGCACAGCCATCCAAAAGTCCAATCCAGGACTCTGTAAAGACCTCCATCTCCCAAACTATACAGACATTTATGATTCACAGGTCTTTGTCAATGAGAGGCTGGACACTGAAAGCTAAATGATCCTCAGGCTGTGAGTCATACTCTGCAGGAAACTTTTGTTGCTCTGTGAAACAAAATAAAAGCATAGAAGAATAACTGTTTTTTATTTGGGCTTGGGAGAACGTGATCCCAGCTGTGCATCAAAACATGGGCCCAAGGAGCCTGGATGTCCAGTTTAGCATAGTTTCCTGTTTCTACATGCCAGTGTAAGAGCTGACAAATATCCCATGTGTCATAGGGTTTTCCTTACTCTATGGTCATACTGTCTGACCCAAAACCAAAAGACATTGGTTTCACCACGTTTTTGCAGCAAGCACTTTCTCAGGTGCCCAGAGGATGGGTTCTTGGAAAGAGACTACAGAGCATATACAGACTTTCTAAGGGGGATAGGTAATTCCCGGCTGAACTTACC